AGAAGGTGGTATTGTTGATGCAAAGGACTAAGTAATTGGGAGATTGGATATATCTAATGGATTTTAATGGAAGATACTTGTATATTAACTAGAACTATCTATATAGTCTTGGAAATTTTTTTTAATTTTTTATTCTAATTGAAAAAACCGATATATTTGAATGACTACAATACATCTTAAAACAAAAATTTTATTTTATGAACAAAATAATGTAACTTTTGAAAAGAATTATTAATTCAAAAAAAAAAAAAAAAAAAAAAAAATTGATTTAATTACGATTTGATAGATGCGCTTCAACGTAAAAGTTTGTTGTGCACAGAGTTATACCGTGCAGCATTTTCTTTTTTTTGACATGTCCGAACCTGATAGGTCCATTTCCAGATTTATATCATCCGAAGAGAATACTGACAGTTTGCTCCCACTCGCACATTGACCTTTTCGTGCATGTACCGCTAGTACCCAGGTTTGACCCAGGCTAGTTTTGCATAGACCCTTTTGAATTTAACTGTCAAATTTGGATAGAGGGATCACTTTCAGCCAATAGGATTGTCAGGATCAGAATTCGCTACAACCTTTATCGTTATCGGGGAGACCCCGAAACAACCTTACAAGACTTATGTCCTGGGAGGTTACCATCAACCTATATAGAACTCAGAAAGGTAGATGACTGTCATACCCATATCGTCAAATTCACCCTGACCTCTAACCCTAGTGATAGCGCGATTGGATTGATATTGATAGTGCGGCATTTCCTTACATTACCAGCAATCCAATCTCCTTATGAGATAAGGCCTCTGCCATTTGGAACGTAAGGCAGTATATTGCAAATAATTGATACAGTATATAATGACCGGAGATCCATAAATTTTATTTCGATTCAAAATTCGATTTGACTAAAAATTTCGATACAAAAATTATGGCTAAAATTAATATTAAGTTTGTAATTCTAGCCGGAATTAATAAAATTTCAAAAATGTTATTTATTTCATATAATTGTAGAATTAACAAAGATTACATGCTGTTAAAATACAAAGTATTACGCATCTGGAGAATCTGACTCAAATTTTCTCTATCTTCACAAAATATATTATAATAGAAAAATTATGCTTTATACTGCAAGAAGAAATAGTTATCCAATATAGTTTAAACAATTTGACTTGAAAAGTGGTAAATGATTATATAAAACCTTTTTCCAAAATTTCTTCAAAGTTTGAGTATTCAAATTAAAATTACAATTGTATGAAGGGTTTGTGAATTCAATTATCAAACTTCTATAAGAAAAAATAATATGATTTGAGGTAAGAATTATAAATTTTGGATTAAATATTTGTGTTATTTAAAAAATGTATAACATAAGATATTTA